AAGCAGCATGAGAAAAACAAAAAGTTACCTACAAAGGACAGCCAGTAAGAATAACCTATGATTTCTCAGGAGAAACCATGCAAGTGAGAAGGCAATGGGATGGTATATATAAAACCCTGAAAGAGAAAAATTTTCAACTAAGATTTATATGCCCAGCAAAATTATCCCTCAAATATGATGGTGAAATTAGGAGATTACTCGATAATCAGAAATTATGGGAATTTGTTAAAACCAGATCAACCTTACAAGAGATACTAAAGGGAATCCTTGGTACAGAGAACAAATAATAGCAAACAACAACCAAACATTAATACACAGGAATGACATAACAAAGAAACCAACACAGCTATGGATGTATCCAAAGTAAGACAAGCTTACAAGATTGTAAACAGAGAAGCAGAGACATCAATTGGCAAATGAGGGCAACTACAAACCAAAAAGAGGGGAAAAAAAGTGTAGTTACACAACTTCTAAATGGTGAGGAAGTTAAGAGGTTACAAGATAGAATGGACTGGCCCATACAGAGGAGAAAATTATAAACCACAGGGTAACTTCAAAGGAAAATGATAAACCTTCACATCACAATAAAAAAGAGGACAAGAACAAATATGTACCAGATACTAAAACAATAGAAACAAAGGAAATGACAACATGATTCATAAACATAATGAGCTCAGCACAGAAATCAGATGGAATAAAGAAATCAGGAACACCATGAAAAAACACAAAACAAAATGACAGCATCCAATTCATACTTGTTGATAATTACACTGAATGTAAATGGATTAAATCCACCACTCAAGAGAAGGAGAGTTGCAGACTGGATAAGAAAACAACCCATCAATATGCTGTCCATAAGAGACACACCTTAGAGACAAAGACAAACATAAACTAAAAATCAAAGGTTGGAATATATCAAGGTTGGATATATCAAACAAATGGCAATGAAAAAGAGCAGGAGTGGAAATATTAATTTCTGATCAAATTGACTTTAAGACAAAAACCACCATACAAGACAAGGAAGGACATTATATAATGATTAAAGGCTCTATTGAACAAGTAGATACAACCATAATAAATACCTATGGACCCAATGAAAGACCCCCAAAATACATAAATCAGACTTTAAAAGAGTTGAAAAGGCAAACAGATGATTCCACAGTCATAATAGGAGACTTAATACACCACTTTCAATGAAAGATAGAACAACTGAGAGAAACTCAACAAAGATGCAGAAGAGTTAAACAATACAATCCACCAACTTGACTTTATAGACATCTACAGAGCACTTCACCCAACAACAGCACAATATACATTCTTTTCCAGTGCACATGGAACATTTTCCATGATAGACTATATGTTAGGCCATAAAGCAAGCCTTCATAAATTTAAAAACATTGAAATGCTGCAAAGTCTCAGATCATAATTCTAACAAGTCAGAAATCAACAATAGGAAGATCAACGGAAAAAGAGTAAACACATGGAAACTGAACAACACTCTCTTTAAGAAAGATTGGGTAAGGGAAGAAATAAAACATGAAATTGAAAAATTCCTTGAATCAAACGAGAATGAAAACACAACATACCAAAATCCTCGGGACACAGCAAAAGCAGTGATTGGAAGCCAATTGATAGCAATAAATGCACACATCAAAAAAGAAGAAAGGACCAAAATCAACACTTTAAACCAAAATATATCCAATAATTAGAAAAAGAACAGCAAGAAAACCCTACAGTCACCAGAAGAAAGGAAACAATCAAGATTCGAGCAGAAATCAATAAAACAGAAAACAGAAAGACAACAGAAAAAATCAACAAGACCAGAAGTTAGTTTTTGGAAAAAATTAATAAAATTGACAAACCACTGAGAAATTTAACAAAGGAAAAGAGGGAGAGAATACAAATAAGAAGAATAAGAAACAAAATGGATGGCATCACAACAGAACCAACTGAAATAAAAAGGATAGTATCAGGATATTATGAAGAACAGTACTCCAACAAATTTAAAAATCTGGAAGAAATGGACAGTTTTCTAGAAACACACCACTAAAATAAACTAACACAAGAGTGATGTGGAAAAGTTGAACAGATCCATAACAAAAGAAGAAATGGAACAGGTCATAAAAAAGTTACCAACAAAAAAAGTATGGCCCAGACTGTTTCACCGGAGAATTCTACCAAACATTCAGAGAACTGACACCAATCCTCAAACTATTCCAAAACACAGAAAAGGATGGAATCCTCCCTAACTCATTTTATAAAGCAAGCAAGCAAGCATAACCTTTATACCAAAACCAGGCAAAGACATCACTCAAAAGGAAAACTACAGACCAATATCCCTCATAAATATAGATGCAAAAATCTTTAACAAAATCCTAGCCACTAGACTCCAACAACATATCAAGAAAATCATTCATTATGACCAAGTGGGGTTCATATCAGGTATACAAGGATGGTTCAACATTAGA